GTATACAAGCGTAAAATTGCAGATTAACGCTTTTGTGTTTAGTATGATGAATATATAAAACTGAAGATTATTTTTACTCGACAACATATTTGCATTTTGCTCTTAACGGAGAATATCCACCTACCATTAGGTGAACTCTGTCCTTTTTTCACCCTTATTATTTAAAAGAAGAAGAAAATGCTAGCTGAATTCCTGTAGGACCTTAGCATAGTGTTTCACGACATTTGTTAATACTCTCAACGGGTAGGCCATATGATGAATAATATCTAACGTCCTTACTCTTACACTGTGCTCGCTGATGAAACACTACGCTCCAAGTTGTTGATAAGTCTTCCTTCAACCGAAATGTCGACCAACTAATCCAACTCGGCCATAATTATTCATGCAAAAACAAATAATGTCCTACATTATACTTTTTTTATAAACCTTAAGTTAAAAAGTTACTTACAGTCCATCTAATACAGAGAAATGTATAGAAAGGAAAGGAGTGTATGTACCCACCATGTATTACGAGTATTACACCATACCACAAATTCATTCTCATAACTGTAGTAAAGTTTTTTTTATAGAACAAGGGTGACAAACGAGCACACAATCCACCTGATGGTAAGTGGTTGCTGTGGCCCATAGACATCCACATCCATCCTCGATTACGAATCAAAATGCAGATGCGTTGTCACCCGTGAGGAGATGCAATGCCTCTTTTCCAGTAAAAAGGGTCTCCGGTTTTCTACAGTCACCATACGAAACACAGCAGCGTTAAGTTGCTATTTTACGCAGGTATTCTGTGAGAGCGTGGATAGTTGTTTCCATCGGACTGGAAACTTTATTGACGCAAACTTTTTTCAATATGAGTCCTATATTAAGTTTTCCTTAACCTTTTCTTGTTCTTGTTCTTGTTGAGACTTTCGCCTGCTTCTTACAAATAAATGACAAACATCAGTAGCGTGTCCCAAATTAAACGTGCCAGTTTTTTCCATTTTCAGATTGTGTCCATGGTGATTCTAGGTAACTTACTCATATTATACCATGTGCCTAATAATATGTTACCCTTAAGGTTTTAATAGTATACAAAAAGTAAAAGAGGTTTTGAGTTGTTAATTATTAAGTAGTCGTGTATTAAAATTAAATTACTTACTGTTATTTATAACAACATTGATATATTTATATCATATTTTAAACTTTGCTCGTAAAACCTCGTTACCGTTTTATTTATCGTGTAAATTTACTTTTACATGAAAGTATATCAAAGTTAAACATACAACAAGAGGAACGCGTCGTTCAAAGTTTTTTGCATACGAGTATATATTATATGTACGCCGTGTTTTAAATCTGATAATGCTTTTGATATAATTTTTATTTGAAATTAAGACGTACAATAACAGTTTGTATATTTCCCATAGCTGTACACACATACTTACTTTTTAACTGATTTTGAAACATTGGAATGTTTATTGTACCGCCCCTGTGATGTCTTTATTATTATTTTTAATTTCTCGCCAAATATGTCTTTCTACTATTTTTTACTTTACCGCTGAGCATCTTGTAAACAACTATAGAACGTTTCTATGGCAGGTGGAAAAAAGTACATTGACTTTTGACGATATCATCGGGGTAGGCAATCTTTTTGTTTAGATTCATTTTTTATCCTTTATCATTACATACATCATCAGAGTGAAAGATAAGGGTGTCGATTGCGAAATTCTTTACAGGCCCTATGTCTATTATTATATAATAAAGAAAGAAGATTATCCTGTACCTAAATGAATTAAAAAGCAAATAAATATTAATTTTAAGTTTATTATTAATAAATCATGAGTTATTACAATTTTCATTATTACGTTAAGTACTTTAATAAGTAGTTAGGTAGGTAGCTATTTCTGAATCATTCTATGATGATGACGACGTAGAAGAGCCCGTCACACTGATTATAACCTAAAATATCGGCAGTTCTTTTTCTTATCCGTTTTGGCTGGATATCCGTCACTAGACCACGTTTATTTTACATATTGATAGCTGTTTACAATCATTTTTTTTCGGTTACCGAAATATGTGACACTTTCTGCTTCTTTCATGGTGACGTAAAGTCTTTATGAGTTTTTCATGTCGATGGACTCGATTTAATACTAGTGATAATATACAAAACGTTACAAAACAATAACAAAAACTTTAATACAAAACATAATAATACAACTAACAAAACAAACTTAACAAAAATTAAAACAACTGCTATAACTGAAAATTTTAAATCTCAAACTATCTATACGCAAGCGCATATCTTTTTTAGGGCTGACTATGAAATGATTAACCGAAAACTGGTTGAAATCGACTGGTCCCAAGTTTTTTTCGGAATAGAAAAAGGTAGACGACTTGGTAACAATATTCTATGATAAACTTAATAAAATCATTAAAGAGTACGTTCCAATGGTAAAAAAAAACGAAACAAAAAAAATCAGAAATGGTTTAGCTCTTGTTTGATCAAGGCATTGCATGAAAAAATAAAATAAGACTTAGATACAAAAAACATAAAAATCCGTTAGATAAAATAGAATTGAATATTTGTAGAAAAAGATGTGAAAAACTATCGTTGGAAGCCTACAATTCCTACATAAAACGCACCGAAGAAAATATTGCCATTAATTCCAAATTCTTTTGGTCGTTTATCAAATCGAAACGTGGCAGTCTGAATTCATATCCGGCCGAGATGACAGATGGTTCTGTAACAACGTCTGATGGTCAACATATTTGTGATCTTTTTGCATCGCACTTCTCCTCTGTCTACAGTGAACAGTCTAATCAATCTGGTCAACAGTCACAACCGATCACATATTGCAATGATTTTTTCAGTTCCATTAACCTGACAGAAGAAATGATTTACCAAAGTTTGACCAAGCTGGATAAGTTGAAGGGAGCGGGATATGACGAGATTCCAGCCATATTTTTGGTTAATTGTGCATCAAATTTAGTCACTCCACTACATTACATATTTAATTTTACTCTTAAGTATGGAGTTTTCCCCGAAGTCTGGAAGGTGGTTAAAATTGTGCCAATTTATAAATCTGGCAGTGAAAATATAATAGGAAACTACCGACCAATTTCAATCCTCCCTCAAATGGGTAAAGTCATGGAGTCATTGATTACTCCCCTAATTCAAAATTATTTCAAACAATATTTAACAGACCAACAACACGGATTTACGCGGGGTAGATCGACATCGACAAATGTTGGCGACGCGCATATAAGAATATTTCAAAATATTTATTAAGTTAACCGATTACGAATGGCTTCTAAAAAGCAAATTATCAAGTAACAATATTCCGATAAGAAAATGCTTAGTTGAATCTTAAAGAAATATCGAATTAATGATATAAAGGTCTTGGGTTCGACTCCCAGGACGGAATAATTTATCGTTTTCTTAGTAATATCTCTTAATAAATTCATATAGGGAATTTTAAGATATAAATTATGTTACAGGATTTGTTCCCCGGTCGAGATGATCGCTGTGCATAAGTAGAATTAATGGAAATTAATTGCATAAGTATTGTCTTATATGAGTTTGATATGTTTTGTATGAAAACAAATGCCTATTTTCTATGATTGATTTATGAAAAAATTCACTTATATTGTTTGATAAGAAACATGATAACTGATAAGAATCTGATTAGAGGTAATTTTCAACGTTTGAGAATTGAGTAGAATCATTTATTCACCTAGTATTGTTGATATTAGATTTTCCATTTTTACTGATAGTCGATAGCCGTGCAAAAGTCAGTTGTTCAAATAGTGTGAGTTCATAGACGCACGCTATCCACGTACTTAGGAGGCCAAATATGTAAAAATTTAAATATTTGTAATTTCAGCAATTTATGTAAAAATGACTTGTGAGACATTTCAGATTGATTGTACGTGTAAAAAAAGTGAATTCTGTGTTATTTTTATGTGAAAATTCCTGTGAATAAGTGAAATAATGATAGTTTTGTATAAGAAATTTAAAAGTGTTTAATAGTGAAATGAGTAGGAAAAATGTAAATTAAACTATTGTATTAGTTAAGATATGTATAATTTCAAGTGGAAAACATTGTTTTAACTTTCTATGTTAAATATTTAAGAAATTTCAACTTCGAACGTGTGAGTAAAATAGGCATATTTCGTTAAATAAATAAATAATTTTTTTGTGATATGAAAATGTAATGTATATCGTAGTATAGATATTTTTTGCGCTATCTATACAAGTAAATTGTGTTAATGTATGACTTATGCAAATAAAGTTATTAAGTAAACCGTGAGAGAGTGATAGAACAAATTCATGTAATTGTGTTGCGCAAGCGCGCGAATGGCGCGGCTCACTTTCGCTATAGCTCCGGGGTAGCTCAGTAAAAGGTTTTTCTTGCAATTCGTTCGTGAATCCTTCGGGAAGTTCGGGAATACTTTGGGAATCGTTCGGGGAAGTTTCGGGTAAGTTCGGAGAAACTTCGGGAATCAGACCAGCAGTCAATAAGAAGAAAGAAAAAGTGTAGGGAAGTGATAGGGAAAAGTAATTACTCTCTCACGGAACGGTTTGAAGATAATTGCTGTTTTATTCCCAAGAAATTCATCCCTCAAAATTATACAGTCCACATGAAGAAACAGAAGAATTAAGGCGTTGGGACCGGGACGACTTCGGAAGACCCGTAATCCCCTTCTGAACCTATTTGCTGAAAAGGAAGAGGTTATCGCCCTTGTGTGTTACTTCGTTGCGGAGATCACATACGTTGTTCCCGAACCCAACGTAGGCGTTATAGGAGGCCGGATCGAGAGAAGCCTCGATTCCTCCCTTCTGTTTCTTAGTTGAACGTTTACACAGCCGTTGGCTCCTTTTCAATTGGTCCTTCGCAGCCGGATCAAGGAACCAGCTGTGAACTGGAGAAAGAAGACCTTCGGAGCCGAGTGAAGATCAGCAACCGAAGGAAGCCGGAGGTTTGAGCTGAAGCAACAGGACCAAAGTCCAGAAGACCAGGTCGTCAGCGCAGAATGACTGGACCTGGAACTACCGGAAGAAAGAAAACCGGGATTGCGGCTTGGGGCGTGTGCTCGCATGGGGCACGTATCGCAGCCAGGCGCAGGTGCCTTGTGAAGGCGCTCATCGTGGCCAAGCAGGGATTGGAATTTATCCTGTCGGGCAAGCGTGCTCGGCATTTTCCTGTCGGACGATCGTGTCCGGCATTTCCTGTCGGACAACCGTGTCCGGCATTTCCTGTCGGGTCATCAGAGGGTGCAAGAAGAAGAAGCATCCACCGCTGCTGCTGCCAGGCGAGGGTGTTCGTGGGCACCTGACTGCGTCGCGGCCGGAGAAGGGCGCTTGGCCGAGGCGTCACCGGCGACTGGGCGACGAGGCGCAGCATACATCCCGACCACCCAACGGTGCCAAACGGTTGGGCTCTGGCACAACACCTTCGGGTGGAGCAGTTCTCTCGAGCGAGACTGCGCTTGCACTACCGCTCGACTGTTTCGTCATATTCCTTGGCGGAACAGTTCCTAAACCTTTCCTCCATTCCATTCCTGCACGACTCCATCCCTGGACGGCTCACCTCGGTAGGCCCCGTTCAGGATTGATAGGGCTGATAGGGCTGTTAGGGTGGTAGTAAGGTTGTAGGGTTGGGAGATAAAGGGGGGAGGGGTAGTGGGGTTAGGTTGGGGTGTAGAAGGTTTGTAGGTAAGGGGTTGTAGGGCCGTAGGGACAGTTAGGAATCGTAGGCCAACAATCACCTTCCTGCAAGATGAAGAAGGCACAAGACCAGACAGGGAGAAGCGAAGGAAGCAAGACAAGAACAGGGCCCTCAAGAAAAGCTAAAGAGGCGGAACCATCTGGAGCGACCACAGCTACGGCTTCGAGTGGGGCAACCCCTTCAAGTGGAGCCACCACCGACACGTCCACATGCACGTGGGACTCAGGGACGTCCATGGCAGCGACAAGCAACAGGACGGACACCAGTGGTACGCAGGCCAGGACCGCACAACAATCCGTTATATCCAGGAGTGAAACGGTGGTCGAGAAAGTAGGTCAAAAGACCGAAGAAGTGGCATCGTCAAGGACAGTAATCGGGCACACTAGTGACAAGGGGTCACAGAGAGGTAGTAGGTCATCGTGATCGGCGAGGCTGAAAGCCGAATTAGAGGCGCAGATTAAATTCGAACGCTCAGAGCTCGAACGAGCACAGGCAGCTGCTGCCTTAGCCAAGTCTCAATGGGAGTTAGCACGACTCAACCGAGAAGAGGAGATCGACTCGAGTGAGGATGATGAAGAGCGGAATATTCAGGTGGAACCTTTCGTAAGGAGTTGGGTTCAACAGACCATAATGAGCGCGCCGGTTAGTGTAATGCAACCCGACATTATTGATAAGGAAGCGTGTAAAGGATCACGCCGCAAAGGGGCGGAGATCGAGCGCAACCAAGGAAATGCACAGAAAACACACGCGAGTGAGGTGTCAGAATTGACCGAAGCGATTGTAAGTGCAATAAAGATAGCGGGTAAAGATAAGTCTTCCCAGCTTCATTTCCTCCAGGAATTACCGGTGTTCGATGGAGACCACGCACGCCTTAGGAGGGCATTAAAGGGCACCGCTAAGGAAGCGGTTAAGTCATTGTTGTTTACTTCGTGTGAACCTGTAGAAATAATGAACGCTCTCGAAAGAAGATTTGGTAGGGTTGAGATGCTCATTCTAGCCGAAATCGAGAATGTAAAGCGTATGCCAAGATTGGCAGAAGATTGTCGGAATATAGGATCTTTTGCAAGTCGTATTACGAACGTGGTTGCCACAATACAAGCGTTGAATCAACCACAGTATTTATACTCACCGGAGTTAGTAAACCGCATAGTCGAGAAACTTGGAACTATGATTAAATTTAAATGGTTTGAATATCGAGCTCAGCATCCTTTGGAGCCAGAGTTACAGAAGATGGCCAAGTTTTTAAATTTATTGAGTGAACAATTTGGAACGTCCTTAAGCAATGAAAATGTGCCTGAAAAACGGAAGCGTCCTGAATTCAGGAAGCAAACTGTACACACTGCAAAGGGGTGTGAACGCAACCATGTCAAAAGCGAGCGCTATGAGCGCCAAAGTAATACGAGCGAGCGTCTAGAACGCCGAAATAATAAAGGGCACAACCGACATGTGGTTATGATAACCCAGAATAAGCCTGTAAGTCGGGTAACACATAAGTGTGTTATATGCAACAAGGAGCACTCTATAGTGAGTTGTTACAAGTTTAAGGACATGAATATTCGCGAAAAATGGGACACGGTCAAAAAAGCGAAAGTATGTTTCCAATGTTTGTCACCTAACCATAGAAGGTTAGAGTGCAGAGCGAAAAAATGTGGTGTAGAGGGATGTAGAATGTCACATCATCGAATGCTACACCGATACCCCAATGAAAATACCTCGCCGCAAGGGGACGAGTGGAGTAAAGAGGCTCAAATTACAACTGTTAGTACAGTGAATGCACTGGCATGTGCATACTTAAAGATTATACCGGTCGAGTTGTATGGACCTAGAGGAAAGGTCAAGACAACAGCTCTTCTGGATGAAGGATCGACCATGACACTCATAGAGGAGTGGATGGCTCAGAAGTTAGCGCCTCGCGGACGTAAAGAAGAATTACGTATTGAAGCCGTGGGAGGTAAGCGAATTAACGACGACAGTTCGTATCGCTTAAACGTTAAGATAAATGGCATTTACTCGATCGACTTAGAGGAGATAAGTGTACAAACAATTAAGTCACTTAACCTTTCTCCGCAGTAAGTAAGCCGAGAATTATTGCAACGGTGTTCTCATTTGACACCGATTAAGGACGAGTTGATTTATGAGAGGTCCAGACCTACCATATTAATTGGCCAGGACATTTGGCATCTCATAGTTACTCGTGAATTAATTTCAGGAGGTAAGAACCTACCTGTAGCATCACTCACCAAACTTGGATGGGTTTTACATGGTCACATATCGGGTGGCATCAAACCAATCAAGATTGTTAACCACATTTCCACCAAGAAGGAGGAAGATATGGATAAGTTAATCAAGGATTATTTTAGTTTGGAATCTCTGGGAGTGTCCGCGAGAAAGCCCGCGAACGACCCAGAAGAACGAGCTTTAAATATTTTGAGCAAAACGGTACGTCGTATACCTAATAATAGGTACGAGACTGCTTTGTTATGGCGCACAGACAATGAGTGCATGCCGTCAAATAGGAGGTTGAAAGTCGCCTGTTTAATATCGAAAAGAAGCTCGACAAAAATAGCAAGTTGAAAAAGGAATATGAGAAGCAAATTAAAAAATCTCATCGTTAACGGTTACGCAGAGAAAGCCAACCATATTTCCATTTCCCCACGCACGTGGTATCTTCCACACTTCGCAGTGACTCACCCACAAAAGGGGAAAATAAGAATAGTTTTCGACGCCGCCGCTAGGACGGGCGGACGTTGTCTCAATGATGCATTGTTAACCGGACCAGTCTTTTTGAAGTCGTTGTTTGGAGTTCTGCTACGATTCAGGAAAGGAAGCGTGGCAGTGATGGCAGACATTAAAGAAATGTTCCTGCAAGTGAAAATCCGGGAAGAAGACAGGGATAGCCTTCGATTCTTATGGCGGCACTATCGTGACGCGCCACAGGAAGAGTATAGAATGACGTCACTCATATTTGGAGCGGCGTCATCACCGTGCATCGCTATATATGCTATGTATGTGAAGAATAGGAATGCGCAGGATAACGCGCATATCTATCCAGAAGCAGCTTCCGCTACGGAAAGCAATTTTTATATGGATGACTATCTACAGGCATTTCCCAACGTGACGACGGCCGAAAGGATAGTAAACGATATGTATGAATTACATATACGTGCTTCTTTCCAACTGAGGTGATGGGCTAGCAACCGACCCCAGGTTTTATGTAAAATGGAAAATAAATATAAGAGCGACAGTGCTTCGCTGGGAGATAAAGAGCACACAGAGCGCACTTTAGGTTTGATTTGGAATATCAAACGGGATATAATAAGTGTCTCCATAAGTCTTCGTAACACACCGGAAGTGGTGATGGAAGGTTTACGACCGCCTACGAAGAAAAATAGCGCTGTGATGTCAGTCTTCATCCTTTCACTCGCTCACCCATAACGATTCAAGGGAAGTCGCTGATCCAGCAAGTATGGAGGACAGGCATCTCTTGGGATGAAGAAGTTTCACACGAATTACACGTGTTATTTTGTAAATGGATATCGGAAGTGAAGAAATTAGGTCATTTAGAAGTACCTAGACCCGTTGCTGAAGGCGTCGGCAAGGGAGAATTACACACCTTCACGGATGCTAGTGAAAAAGCATACGCTGCCGCGGTGTATTACGTCACCACGGACGAGCTAGGAGAAAGGCGGATTACGCTGATCGCCGCAAAGGCAAGAGCAGCACCGATGAAACCAATTTCGATTCCAAGGCTTGAATTACAAGCAGCTCTTATGGGCAGCAGACTGGCTGCATCAGTTAGTGAAGAGAGCAAGTACGAAATATCCGAGAGAGTATTTTGGACAGACTCACGTACAGTGTTAGCGTGGATTAAGTCAGATCCTCGTGCTTTTAAACCATTCGTTGCCCATCGATTAGCTGAGATCGAAGATCACAGTAAGCCATGTGAATGGCGATGGGTTCCAACGTCACAAAACGTGGCAGATGACGCCACTAGAAATTTTCCTTCCACCTTCGATGTAAGTCATCGCTGGTTTCAAGGACCTGAATTCCTCAGGAAAGTCCTGATTTATGGCCCAAGCAAGTGGACACCATAAATAGCTTAGAAACAGGGGAAGAAAAATCGCCAAAAGGCGTAAATGCGCTGAAAAAGCAAGAACCGTTAAGTCTACCCGACTACGGACGATTTAGCAGCTTTAAGAAATTCCTTGGGGCAACTACACGCACCTTACAAGCGGTAGAAAAATTCAAGAGTTTAAGAAAGTCGGTTAAAGGACCCGACGACGCAGCCGAAAAAGTCGGTTATGTGTTCCAACAAAGTTTTAGCAAAGTCGGTTAAAGGACCCGATGGCGCGTTTGACATAGCGCTCTTGAAAAAAGCTGAATTGTTAATTTGGAAGTTCGTTCAAGACGAGTGTTTTCATTTGGAAATAAAATGCTTGAAAGCATGCAAAAGCGTTGAAAGAAGTTCACGCTTAAGTAAATTATCTATGGAAATAGGAGAAGATAACTTACTCCGTTTAAATGGGCGTTTACCTTTAAAGTCTAATTTAACCGAGGAAAGTAGAAAACCAGTCGTATTAGACGGTAAACACGAAATCGTTAAAATGATGATTAGAGAAGTTCATCATCATTTTGGACATGCCAATCACCAGACGGTGATGAATGAGGTGAACCAGAAATTTTATGTCTTGAACCTGCGTAACGTAGTACGAAGTGTGTCACATCATTGTCAGTGGTGCAGGACATACAGGTCAAAGCCGCAGAACGTGCTACAAGGAAATATTCCTCTGGAGAGAATAGCTCATCATGAACCACCTTTTACATGCTCAGCCGTGGATTATTTCGGATCTATGAGTGTGACTATAGGAAGGCGACACGAAAAACGCTGGGGTGTTTTATTTACGTGTCTGACCACCAGAGCAGTACATCTGGAATTAGCAACCTCATTGCCACCAGCGTCAATGATAATGGCGTTGAGGTGATTTATCGCCTGAAGAGGAAAACCAGCCGTTATATACAGCGATAACGGGACAAATTTCAAAGCTGCGAATAAAGAATTATTGAAAGCATGCGAAGAATGCTATGAGGGCATGAAAAATGAGTCATTTAGAAAATATATTAAATGGAAATTCATACCTCCGGGAGCACCGCACATGGGTGGCGCCTGGGAAAGGTTAGTAATATCAATTAAAATTGCGTTGACCGCTACGCTCAAAGAAAGGAGCCCGCGAGAGGAGGTTCTGCATACGTTGCTATTAGACGCAGAGCATACTGTAAATTTCAGGCCTCTGGTAACATTCAGTATGGATAGTCCTGAAGAGGGTTTGACACCCAATCATTTTCTTCTGGGACGCTCATGTGGTGATCGACCACCTGGATTATTTTTAGAGCTGTTGCTCTAAAAATAATCCAGGTGGATCGGACGGGTCAACTCAATTGGAAGTCTGCACAAATGTTAGCCGACCATTTTTGGACAAGATGGCTAAAAGAATACATGCCTACTTTAATACCTCGAACAGGTAATAACGGAAAGTTCATGGAACCTAAAGAAGGTGATATTGTCTTGATAATAGATCATTCGTTGCCACGAAATACGTGGCCGAAAGGCAAAATTACTAGGACGCTACCGGGACCAGACGGTCACACCAGAGTGGTTGACGTCATTACTAGCACAGGTATCTTGAGGAGACCTACATCCAAAATAATAGTGTTGGTACCCGCGACGCCTCCCAAATGATGGTGCTGACGCACGGGGGGGAGATTCTTGGCGACGCGCCTATAAGAATATTTCAATTTATTAAGTTAACCGATTACGAATAGCTTCTAAAAAGCAAATTATCAAGTAACAATATTCCGATAAGAAAATGCTTAGTTGAATCTTAAAGAAATATCGAATTAATGATATGAAGGTCTTGGGTTCGACTCCCAGGTCGGAATAGTTTATCGTTTTCTTAGTAATATCTCTTAATAAATTCATATAGGGAATTTTAAGATATAAATTATGTTACAGGATTTGTTCCCCGGTCGAGATGATCGCTGTGCATAAGTAGAATTAATGGAAATTAATTGCATAAGTATTGTCTTATATTAGTTTGATATGTTCTGTATGAAAACAAATGCCTATTTTCTGTGATTGATTTATGAAAACATTCACTTATATTGTTTGATAAGAAACATGATAACTGATAAGAATCTGATTAGAGGTAATTTTCTACGTTTGAGAATTGAGTAGAATCATTTATTCACCTAGTATTGTTGATATTAGACTTTCCATTTTTACTGATAGTCGAAAGCCGTGCAAAAGTTAGTTGTTCAAATAGTGTGAGTTCATAGACGCACGCTAGCCACGTACTTAGGAGGCCAAATATGTAAAAATTTTAATATTTGTAATTTCAGCAATTTATGTAAAATTGACTTGTGAGATATTTCAGATTGATTGTACGTGTAAAAAAAGTGAATTCTGTGTTAT